TTGCGATGAAGGCCAAAAAGGTATTTGCATGCTCGCTGCTACAAGAGTTTAATTAGTTAAACAAAGAACAGAGGCTGCAGCAGACAGGACCATAAGTTAGCCGAGTAACCCCTGGCAGACCCAGACCCTGACCCTTGACATGGATCAGACGCCCAGGATCCACGAGTCCTGTGGGAGGCATAGGTAGCGTTTAGCGCCTGTCTCAACGGTTCCCCTGGATCTTTGTCTGTTTTTTGCCAGCAGCCACAACTTCAAATATAAAGTTGCTGGGGGTTTGAAGCCCCCTAGGTACGAGGAACTTGCGGTATTTGGATCTTGGGGCAGGCCTAACAGGTGGGGAAAACGGGGCGTCACAGTCATAATAATGTTTCAAGGCCGCTTTGGCCCCAGGCGTAGACATTGGGGAGAAATTTAAACGGCAATTTGGTGCCGTGTTTACCAACCCCAAGGACATGGAGTGGCAGGACGAGGAAGGACGACGAAGGCAGCCTCCAAAAATGTGGGCTGAACTTTTATTTTTGGCTCTCTTTGGTGGGGGGGGGCATAAACTACTTACGTGCCTGGCAAGCCTTCGAGCTGGCTCCTGTCTGCCATCCGTCATGCACTGGCAAAAATCCTTAGGTATCACTTTTCAAACTAAGTTACTCTCAAAAAATGTTGTATTTTTGATATGGGTATTTAAATAATACCAAATACTTATGTGTTAATAGTAATATTTTTTTTTACTTCACACTAGAAAATTAATACTAAAAGAGAGTCAAAGTCATTTTTAAAAACTTTTAATATTTGCACTTTATAAAATGTTAATTTTATATAACAATTGGTTTGGCTTTCATTTAATACATACACAATGAGTTAATCAATTGAAATTTAAAATTGCGTTTATAATTTAAATGTATAAATATTTTAAGATTTCTAATTTTTTAAAAGAACCTTACATGATAAACAACTTTCCTAAATTTTTAGAATATTTTGTTTTTCTATTGTTTTAGTCTGATATTAATATTTCATATTAATCATAAGACTACCTTACTATAATAACACAGTACGTTAGTAAGAAAATGGTGATTTTTGAATTAAAAAAAATTTCTTTTTATTCCCAAAAATCTGTTTAGTATTTTTATAGTGTTGGCTAGTTTTTCTGCCAGTGCTTGACACCCAAGAATAGCATTTCCCCTTCCCATTCCTCCCATTTTTTCGGTCTGCTGGCAGGCATGTCGCCATCGCCATCGCCATCGCCATCGCCATAGCCACTTCCATCGTCCTCTTCCTGGGCACGTCACTTTTGGTTGCTTGAGCTGTGTGTCGTTTGTTTTCTTTTTCTGCTTTGGTGGTTTGGCGCACAAATCCACAAAACGCACAGCGCCCACTCACCCACATCCGCATCCCAGTCTCATCCGCCTCCAAAGGAGACCCCAAAAACTCGAAAACGAAGCCCCAACATAAAGTGTGTTTAACTTTTTTTGCCATTGTGAGAACGCCCAAATATCTCTGGCTTGCCTTAGGTAAAGATGCTCGGTACTTACACAAGGAAAAAATAATATAGGGGAGTATACTATAAAGAAAATGTTTTTGATAAGTATAGTTATATTTATACCCGTTACTCGTAGAGTAAAAGGGTATACTAGATTCGTCGGAAAGTATGTAACAGGCAGAAGGAAGCGTTTCCGACCCCATAAAGTATATATATTCTTGATCAGGATCACTAGCCGAGTCGATCTAGCCATGTCCGTCTGTCCGTCTGTCCGTCTGTCTGTCCGTCCGGATGAACGCTGAGATCTCGGAAACTATGAGAGCTAGGCTATTGAGATTTGGCGTACAGATTCCTGATCTTCTTACGCAGCTCAAGTTTGTTTCAGTAGACTGCCACGCCCACTCTAACGCCCACAAACCGCCCAAAACTGTAACTCCTACAGTTTTGATGCTAGATAGAAAATTGTAACTGAAATGTATTGTTCTCATCAATACCTATCGATTGACCTAAAAAAAAGTTTGCCACGCCCACTTAAACGCCCACAAACCGCGAAAACCTGTGACGCCCACAATTTGCATGCTAGATAAAAAATTTTAACTGAAATGTATTGGTGTCGTCAATACCTATCGATTGATCCAAAAATAATAATGATCCAAAAATTTAACGCCCATAACGCTTAAATCTGTCTACCGCCGGTAGGTGGCGCATTTTAATCTCGCTTTGCTGCTTGCATATCTCCATTTCCCTTTGAGTAACGGGTATCTGATAGTCGAGGTACTCGACTATAGCGTTCTTCCTTGTTTGATCTCTTTTCGTATCTAAACTAAAAACTATACAATAAATTGTGAGGTTCATAAAATTGTATTAGTATTAAACATATACAATATTTCAGGACCTTTTAAATCGTTATAAAAATGTTGTTAATATCCAATTGATTAAGTGAATGCCCTACTTTTTCCCAGTGTAGTTGTAGTTCCAATCCCCAAGCAAGTTTTTGTTGTGGACGCTTTGGAGCTTTCACGACCTTTGGCATATTGACTAGTTGGAAATTTCGGCGTCCATTTTGCTGCCGGCTTATAACTTGTGGCGAATATTTTATGCACAACGCACTTACACTTTGGGCTTTGTTTATTTTCGTTTCATCTGGCGAGCGGCTTTCGCTTTTTTATGCGCTGCACTTCATTTTATTGTCGTGCTAAGCTGCGTTTGGGGAATTGAATGCGTATGTCCCGGGGCTCAGGATTATGGGCCCAGACCCAGACAGTTCATCAAGCCGAGTAGTTGTTGGGATGCCAAAAATGGTCCTTTTCGGTTGGGGATGGCCAGTTTACGAGGGAGTGTGGGTTGGCCACTCGAACTAGGGGAGGTCCTTCTTCAAGCAAAAGTAAAAGTCACTTGTTATAAAGTTTGCTTTCCAAATGGCTGACACTTAATTTTCACTTAAAACAAAGTTAATAACCTAAACCAAATTTATAACTTTTGGAATGTATTAAAAACAGGCATTACTTGGTCCACTTATTTGTACTGATCATAATTCTTTATACTTTGTATATAATATGATTCGAAATTTTTGAATCGAAAGAACTTTTTTTTACATACTTTTACAATATTTATTTGCTTAAACAACTTTTCTTATAACTTATAACTACAACTTATAACTACAACTATTAATCCTACATTTAAATACGGTTAACATTAATATTATGAATAAACATTAGAAAAGGTCTTATTTATTGCTCTAGATTAATAATGCAAAATTTCTAACTATTGGAATAGGTTTAAATAAACTCTACGAAAATATTTACTAATGTTTTAAGAAAGCTATAATACTATAAGCTATAATAATCTTTAGTATACCAATTTTTTGTAATATATGTTTTCCCTTTAGTTCCGAAATTTAATTGAGTTCAAAGTAATCCTCCTGAGTAGTATTAACCGCAACTTAAATAATGATTTTACAAGTGCTGTCGACATGTCGCAAAATCAAAAGTGAATCCAGCCGACTAAAAACAAGCGTCACGCCCTTGGAGCCATACGTTAAGCTCGTTGTAAGCCGGCCCATAATTAACTAAAGTCAATTGAAAATTACAAAAAGGCTTAGGCGGAATGGAGCCAAGGGGCTGACAGGCCCCCGGGGTGGTCCATATGGCCGGAAAACCCCACCCCAAAATGAGTTTTCACTTTCATTCCGCCCGCTTTCTTCTATCGGGCATCATCAATTTAATTTTGTAAGCTCACAAAGCGTTGCATAAAAAATGAACGTCCCTTCATGTGGGTGTGAAATGTCGGAAAATGTCGACCCGCAGGCTTTAAATCCCGGTAAAGTATCCAAAAAAGGGTGTGAACCGAAGCGTGTGCCATTTTCAATATTTGCCAGAGCCAGCCAGCATGTGGCTAATCTTGAAAATCTTGTACCACGTCACGGGGAAAACGCTTGCCGCCTCAACAGTTCCATGTACTCCATCACGGGGCTGCTGACTCACCTTTTCCGGGGGAAGATCCGAGGTCGTGGTCCCATCCCGGGAGCCACATTTATTTGCCCCCTTCTGCCGGACAATTGCAATAAATGTTTCTGTTGCCTACTTTTGAGGGTTGGAGTCGGTAGCAGCCTGCAGTTGGTAGCCTTCGGGGCTTTTTACTAGCTTTTAAACGAACAAGCAATCGGTATAAAAATTTCATTTAGATCCGCAGCAGCATCCCCAAAAACTAAAGGTAGCTTTTGGTGGGGGTTGGGGCGATTTAAGTGCCTCTGTGCCACCGTTGAAAGTCCCAAAGGGCAGCAAAGGGGAATTGATTTGATAATTCTGATTGTTCTTTTTACTCCGCTCGACTGCCGGAAGTAGCGAGCAGGAATCTGGGGAAATAAAACAAAGGAATGAGCCCGAATAAAACACATAAAAAATGCATTATACATTATTGAGCTAGGGTTTCTATAGAAATAACTATCGGTCGAACAGCATTTTATGTGATATTCTGTTGTAAACTTTATATTTTATGTTAAAATATGTTATATTATTAAGGGAGATTTCGTCTGTCACATTAATACAATTTAATAAAGTGAGCAACAAAAAATATCATTATTCACTTTAAAATTAATTGATACAAATAGGTTTTTTTGGAAAATATAAATATTTTTATAAAAGGAAAGCAATTTCTTGGAATTTTTTAATGGTTTATAAATATTTACACAGATTGTTTTAATTAAATTTTAAATAACGAGTTGATCAAAAATAAAATAAAAATTAAATAATCTGAAAGCCGAACAAAAATAAAACTAGTGTTCAACAAAATATTAAAAAAAAAAATTATATGTCTTTACTTAATTTCTTTTATTTATCCCATTGATTAAAAATACACGTATTAAGTATAGAAAATATTTTACAATTATTTCTTAGGCACCCAAACAATATATTTCGATTAAAATATATGGAACTCCTTTAAATACTAAATGTTATACACCTGCAATCTGAACTTTTTCTCGCTTTACTAATCGGATTATCTGGTTTTTCCTTACTTACCTTTGCAGACCGTGCCAATCACAGCGATCCGACGATTGAGATCTGTCGTCGCTGTCCGCCGGACTACGAGGCGGAGTCGCTGCCCTCCTACACGATTGTCTCCGGACTGCCCACCTACGACGATGCCCTGGAGGAGTTCCGCAAGGCGGGCATCATCCTGACCCCCGCCGTGGTGCCCATCATCAAGATATTCGAGTGCAACGAGACTGGCAAGGAACAGGCCGTGGGCTACAGCCTGGTGGAGACGAACGCCTCGGGTGGTGGCGACGGTGGGGCGGACAACGTGTCGATAGCCTCCACCACCTGCAACTGCGGCAACTCCTCGCCCACTTCGTCGCTGCCAAGCTACAGTGCCGCCACGGCGGCTGCCTTGGCAGTGGCGGCAGCTGCTCCTCCTCAGGTGATCGAACTGTCGCCGGAACACCTGGCCTCCCTGTCCCAGAAGCGACTCTCCCTGCAGATCTCATTCAATAACTCGGTGCGCCGGCAGTCGCCGCTCAGGAACCATCTACTCAGATCCCGGGCGGTGGGAAATTCCGCCGGAATGGTGCCATCGGAGGGGCCGACCGCGGTTCACGGGTCAGGAGGTCACGGCGGACATGGCGGAGGCGTCACTATCCTGCCCGTCCTGCATCGATCCACTTCCACAATTTCTCTGTCCAACGAACGCCAGTTGCTGGATCAACGTCTCAGGCATTTGCATCATCGCGGTTCCCTCTACTGAGAACCGCATCGAGCATCCCGACTGCCTGACTATTCCTTCCTTAAGGGTATTCCCTACGTTATTCATATCCCAAGAGTTGTTAGTTTTAAGATAAAGACACAATAAAAACACGTTATTTTATGATTTTCTTTGTTTTCTATTTTAATTAAAATTGAGTTTTAACAGTATTGGGGGTTAGTTAAATATTATATGGAGAATGTTAAGTCATTAAATGACTAAATATCTCAATATAGGAAATTTAAAGAATGGGAACCTTACAGATTAAAACAGTCCTGAAGCGCCAGTTTACAGAGACGTATAAGCTTAAACGAATCTCAAACGTGGTCGACGAATGCATCCCCAAAATGGGATAAGATACGGCCAATCTGATCTTGGACGTAAGAAAGTTTCTTTAATATGAAAATGTTGTTTGACTCTCTGATTTGTAAACAAGAAGAAACAAGAAAATCGGTTGAATGACGGTAAGAATAGAACGTTCGCATTGGGCTTTCTCAAGTCTCTAAGTTGTAGAAACGCTTATGGTATGGAACCTTCCACTGGGTGTCGGGTATTGCATGAGTTCTTGATGGATTCTTCCAGTGAAAACCGAAAAAAAAATGTATTTTATTCTGAAAAAAATTCAAAACAATTACAAATGTATTTTTTGAACGGTTTAAATTAGTTCAAATTCTTTGTTTGAAGATAGTATTTAAAATAGTGTTTACATGGTGGTATAGAATCTGTTAAAAATCAATACAAGCATGTAAACACATTGGCATTTCTGCTGATAACTATAGAAACCGAATAAGTTGTTTATGGATATAAAACCCGGCTTTGGTCGGTTTATTTAGTTCTCAGGGTTTATTTTACTAGCAGCAATGAGCGCCACAACACGTACTGGATTAGTTCCCACGCCCAAGAGGCATGTCAAGTACCTTAAAAAGGTAAAAGTTAAAAATTTGAGACGGTAAAAACCCATATTTGGATGAAGTATAAAAAAAACCTTAGTGCAAGTGCCATTTAAAGTTTTAAATTTTGTTGGGCATGTCTTTTAAAATTAAACATTTATCAGTATGTAATTTATGTACATGCCACCCCATATTCCTAGCCCCTGTTAATTTAATAAAACTCATTACGTATGTTTTTAAAGTTACCCAAATTTAATTTTTGAAAAATAAATTTTTAGTTTAACACGTTAAAGCCTGTTTTCACATGTGCATATTTATCTAAAAGTGGGTTTTAAGCCTAGAAAATTTTGTTTAGAACTATTTAAAAACTCACCGAGTTTAAGATTATAGATAGTTTTCATAAACAATTAAATGGTATATAAAGACACCAATTTAGGGATAATTCCATTTTTATTTATAGCGACGGAATCAGCATGGCGATGTTTCGCGAATGCCGCTCAAGTTCGAGGCCACGCCCATGCCGCTTTCGCTACGCCCCTTTGGAGGGCTCTTTAACCCCTTCGCCAAGGGATGCTCGGTGCTGTGCAACCATCCAGCTCCTTCTGGGGTTAAGGATGTGATCAATCAGCTGAAGACATCGCTGGCGATTGAGGGCAAGAGTCAGCAGCACGGCAAACAGGATAAAATTCCCGAAGAGGCGGAACAGCAGCCCCATGAGGACAATATTCCGGAGGATCTGTTCCGGCGATATGCGGAAACGGACTCGAGACCCATGACGCCAACTCCCACGGTGACTAGCATCCACACCAGAACCAGTGCCAGTGCAGGATCCTTCTACCGACGATGCATAACCCCGGAATGGGGAAAACACGAGAACATTAAGAGGAAGAAGATCATATTGGACCTGCGGAGGTCCCATTCCCAGGAGACTCTCTACTGGAAACCCAGTTCGGACCTGACACAAAGCGGCTTGGATGAGGACAAGAAACCCAAGAGCGCGGGGGCCAACGAGGACAAGAAGCCCAAGAGACAGCCTTCCAACGAGCAGAGGCCCAAATCTTCGCTGGCCACTGCCAATTCGGCTCCAGGAGGAGATGCCTCCAGTGATCTAGAGGCCAAGCCCAAGGGCTGCATCAACGAACATGAACTTAGCGACGAGGATGTGCGCAGGGGCAAGAAACGCAAGAAACTGAAGCCAGCTCAAGGTGAGTACCCATAAAACGTAAAGTTTGTAACGGATGGCTTTCGGAAACATAATAATAATAATAATATAACAATATATTATTATATATTATTCCTATTACGATAGGAAAGCGAACTTAAACCCATTTTATTTGGAACAGAAAAAAATTAACATCTTCATATTGAACTTAAAATTTCAAATTAAATATTTGAACTAAATACAAAAACATTATGTTCAATACAAAACATAATAAATTGGATGGTATAAATATTTAACTGAAGGTACACAATTTTAGATAAGATATTTTACGTCATTAACAGAAAAGATTTTATCCTGAAATCAAAACATAAAACACTAAAATGAATACTTTCATATTTAAAATAAATAAAAACCGAAATTGATGTAAAATATAGCGAAAAATTAAATTAAATTAATTTAAATATGAAATCCTTAGATATACCATGTAGTTTATCAGTTTGTGCCTTATTGCTTAAAACTACATTTGTAGACATTTTTAGAAACCATACTACAAATTTTATGACGTCAAAGTTTTAACTTAGAAGTTTTAAGCAAAGATTATTACTGATCTGATTTATCTTATTCTTAACTATTTCTATGTAAAGCCACCACCACTTTCCATCTAAGTGAGGATCCAGAGACCCAGGTGGCTGCTCTGGGCCCCGATTCACTCAATCCCAGTACCAGACCTAGTTTGATCCCGAATTCCCTCACCTTGCTGCCCAAGGACAAACGGGAGGCAGAACGAGAACCGATCCTCTTAAAGGGAAGTTTTCTCACCGATGAAGCCTTTCAGGCCTTGAAAACCGATTTGGATGTAGATCTAATAGAAAACACATTTGGAAGATATGTAAGCGGGTTTTTAAATATTTGATTACTTCAATATCTCGTAACTATTAATACCATTATTATATACTTACTAAAGCTCAACCGAGCTCTTAGAGAAGCCATTAAGTACATGCCACCAAAGCCCAAAACGGTGCCTAAGCCCGTTAAAGATGAAGTTCCTCCAGAAACCACGTCCAAGATGCCGAGAAAGTTCTCAAAATCAGCGACGAGATTCGATGTGCCCATGGATCTTTCTATGCTAAAAAGTCGGTAAATCTAAAACCATTAAAATACCTAACTTTTAACTAATTACTCCAATAGATATGACCCCCTGGGACTATTTGAGCAAATGCGTCTGGGTGTCGCAGCAGAGAAAACAGCTATACAAAAGGGTATTTTTAAAGTATTTGAGTCGAATCGAGGAACCGGAAAGTGAGTTGGCGGCCATGGGAAACGATGAACTGCCGGAATACAAATACAGGGAAAGAACCCTCGTCTGGCAGAGTCTCCCGCAAGCTCTAGAGGATGTCCTGGAGTTCCATGGCACAGAGAAAAATGTGCAGGGGACTCTTAGAATGTTGGGTTACGATCCCGAAGGGTCTGGTGACCTGGACTTTCGAGCCTGGTGCGGAATCGTCTCATTCGCAGAGAGATTGGCACTTGCTGATGAGTCAGGATCGGAAGATTCATGCGACGAGTTGGAAAAGGCCGACTTTAATAGCATGGAGCAAATAATGCCAGACTTTGCTGTGCCCGAAAATCTCAAGGAAATTTTCAACATAATTCGCAAGACCCATAAGACTAGGTACTGAAATAAAGGATTGGAAAAACAAATGTTCAACAACCTTTTGTAATTTCAAGCTATAACAAATATATGTATTGCGTGAAGAATTCATAAAGATTCATTTTTTAAGTATTTATAACCATTAAATTATTATTTTTAAGCATTTTTGCTAGATTTTATAATTATTTGAGAGATAGTTTAGAAAACCTGTTTGAAATTCGCGGGCTTTGAAAATACTTTCTGATAAAAAATTTTTTAATACCAACTACTAGGAAAATGCGATTATACTATTAACGGTGTGGCCAGTCATAGTTCACTATCGAAACCAAAACATCGATAGTGTGGCATTAACTACAATCGAGTCATCGATAACAGGTTAATGGTTAATCAGTCTAATTAAATTGTAAATTAAAAGTAAAAACTCGGTAATTACTTATCATGGCCACCTTGGAGGACAAATTGCTGGGTGAGAAACTGGAGTACTACTGCAGCAGCAGCGAGGGCGAGGACAATGGCGACGAGGGGGACGATTCCAAGGGGGCTTCCGGAAAATCCCGATCCTCCGGCCTGACCATTGACACAAATCCGGATGCTGCTCCGCCCGGCGGATTCCGGCAGCAGGGCTCCACGAACACGGGGCCCAAAGGCGTGGTCAAGGACTGGCAGAGATTCAAGCAGCTGGAGGCGGAGCGCCGGGATGAAACGGAGCGCCAACGGCTGGCATTGGCCAAGAAGCTCACCATTACCTCGGCTACATCGGCAGAGGATGAGGAGCGCAAGCGGCAGGAGGAGCTGGACTCCGAGCTGGATGAGCTGATGAGCGAGGAATTCCTGCAGCAGTACCAGAAGCAGCGGATGGCCGAGATGCTCCGCCAGACAGGACACCACCAGCAGTTTGGCCAGGTGCAGCAGTTGACCAGCCACGGGGAGTTCCTCGAGTGCGTGGAGCAGGAGAACAAGCACACCACCATCATCATCCACATCTACGAACGCCAGTTGGCCGCATGTACTACCCTGAACAAATGCCTGGACAGTCTGGCCAGCGATTATCCGTCCATCAAGTTCGCCAAGATCTGCAGTTCCGTGGCCGGAATGAGTCGGGACTTCCGCACCAAAGGATTGCCAGCCCTGCTGGTTTACAAGGCCCAAGCGGTCATTGGTAACTTTGTGCGGCTAACAGACGACCTCAGCGACGATTTCTTTGCCTCCGACGTCGAGAGTTTTCTCATCGAGCATGGCATTTTAGTGGACCGAGCTCTTTACAATTAAGTTGTTGGCTAAAGTCCTGAGATTATGAACTGACAAGTAACTTACAACCCATAGTTTTAGATTCCAAAGTTATAAAAAGTAAAACCATTTGCAAATTTTGTAATGCATGTCAAAAACCTTTCATTAAATTCAGAAAATGGACTTGAAAAATCCGAAAGGTACTTTTTTATCGAAAAGTATACATTATTGGAATCTCGAGTAACTTGTCAGTTCAATTTGAGGCTTAAACGCTCCCACAACATCTGACCAAATATGTGTTCGTAAGACTAGCATTTAAGAGAACTTAAGCCAGGCCCGCCCTTTTTACTTTTTCAATTTAATTATTTATTTTTTCCATTCAGTAATTAGTTACATTATATGTATGATTCTTTTCTCTTCTTTTGTTTTTTGCATACAGAATTTCTCGAAGTGCAACTTTCACAAAATGGAAAATGTCTCAGAAACGGGGTAAATCAAAGAAATAATAAAATTCGATTAAAAAATATTTGAAAAATGTATTCGAAATGCATTTTACACTTGAAATTGTATGGAACAGATCCTGCTCACTAAATATAGCGTATATCTATAACCTTTCCGTCATCATTTACAATACGAATAATATTTATGTAATAGTATTTAGTGGCTAATGAATGTACTTCACTCGAACTCGTACTCTGTAAGATTTATACACTTATATATTTTATAGCTTATAGCCTATCATATACAGCAATAAAAATGATGTCGATACAATAAAGTATTTTTTTTTGCTAATCAACAAATTGGTGTTTCTTGCATTTTTCATTCCCATGGTTGTGGGCAACATTCTGAGCGCTATGTACTAATTTTTAATATTAATGGATGCGATTCATACTACGTATGAAATGGCCAAAGAAGTGGTTTTCTTTTACACTCGTTTTGTTTCCTTAGCTAACATTCAGATTATTTATGTAAATTCATTTTAACAAACACACCAAATGATGCAATACACAGCGAGGAAATTGTTTCGTTCTCTAACTTCGCAAAGAATTTTTCAATGTAAGCTGAAAAATCTCCAAGTCTGGATGGGGGAAAACAGAACTCATTTTTAGTGGCGGGGCAGTGGAATTCGATCTGGAGAGGGTTCAAATGCGCCCTCTTCAGACCTTATACTTGGTTTGGAACTATCAAAAGCTAGTCGTTCAGGATTTGCTAAATATATTTTTATATAAAATGGAATTATCTCGTTTGTTTAGCTGTCGTTTGGTAGTCCTGATTCCCCGCGAGAAGGGCTGTTTTAGCGTATTGTGTAGTAAATATACATATTAGATATATCTTGGACACACAGACATACACGTATATATGTACACATAGCACTTTTAACGATAACATCATTGAAATAACATCCGATTTACAAATTGATTTCCGTTCGCAGTTACAAGTATAATTTGAAAACGCTTAACTATATATTAAATGCTAGCTTGTGTTGTTTGTATCTTTTTAAGAATAATGTAGAATTTATTTTAAATATTTTCGATTGGTTTCCGTCTAGTTTTGCTTTTGTACTTGACTGTATCAAAAATGAATGTATATCTGTAATTGGGTCTATGATTGCATTTAAAGAGCTCCATTCACGTGATAAGTATAAATTTGAATAGCTTAGAAGTAACATTTATAATGGTTCTTATAAAGACAGAGAGTCGGCCTCGAAATCGATTGGTTGGATTGTTCAGATGCTACACAGTTAAGAAATTCTTCTGCTTTTGTATCGTTGTTTCGGTTTGCAATCAGGTGAAAATTTCGTTTATTTTTATCTTGACAATGTTCAAGTTTAAGAGATTCTTGGCTAAAACGTAAACTAAAATCAACCTAAATCACACAACGAAATGAATGCTGAATAAAATTTGGCAATTTGTTGCATTATATAGTTAGTTTGAGTTGTAAATGTTTGTTTTCTTTCGTTCGTTTTTTCTTGGTTTTTGTTTTGTTGGTTTAACTAAAGAAAATCAGCCTTTTCTTGCTATACACATTAAATACATATATCGTTTACCATAACCTAATATATGATGTTATTTGAGGTCTCACGGAAATCTCTAGAGATTTAACACTGTTTTCAATTAAGAAGGTGCAGAAACTGCACAAATTTGATCAGCTTGGTTCTTATTGTAATTGGTGTGTTTAAATCTCTAGAAATATCCTCGATACTCCCGTTTTTTGTGTGTTTGTGTTGGAAGTATACGTATTAAAAATGGTATACCTTTAAAAATGGTTAGATCTTAACATAGTTGTATGCGGATGTGTCCTGGGTGTCCTCAGTGTTCGATTTAATGGGCCGTTGTCCTTGTTACAGCCGCGGCGGCTTGAAGCTCAGCGTGGTGCTGCACTCCACGCCCACGTCCATGGCATCCGGCGTCGAGATGCCGCACTCGGCAATGGAATTCCTCACCGACGGTGGCTGCTCGGCACCCGGCAGGAGGCCCACCATCAGCAGGGGCTTGTTTAGCACCGAAACGCCGCCGGCCGATCCTCCAACTGCTCCAGGATTGCCGGTTAACTGATCACTGCCCAGGCTATTGCTACTGTTGCTCTGACTATTGCCGCCGATCTGCTTCTCCTTGTTCCGCCGCAGCGAGGATCGATACTGCCGGGGCACGTTGATGAGCAGCCGCCGGGTGGTGGGATTGTGGGTGGTGCTGGTGACGCCTCCGAGGCCGGGATTAAGGCCCAGACTGGCGACCGGTCGTCGGGCTGCGTACTGAATGGACTCGGCGCTGTTACTCAAACGGATGTTGCCAACTAAAATCGGGTTCGGACATACAGTTCGGGACAAAGAAAAAGAGGAGAAATAATATTGCTGATGAGTTACTTGGTTTCAATTGGAGGTCTCGGTCTTGGAGTAGCAAATAAATGTTGGTGTTGGTTTATGGTTGAGGCGCTTTCTTGGTGTGTTATATGGCTTACTACTGTTGTATGCTGTGGTTGTTGCTGCTGCTGACCGTCTCTGTGGGCGTTCCGACGACAACAACTCACAATAACGTTAACAAATAAATGTACAATATGTGGACAAATCACACAAAACTCGGGGTTAGTACGCAAAATCAAACAACAACAAGTACAACACATGTAATTATGCATGTATCCCATGTCTGGGTGTATATCGAGTGTAATCACACAAAAAACAACACAAAAAGCTTTCAACATCTTTCGATTTCGGTTATACACAGTATAAATAAATAATAAAGTTTATTTTTACAAAGCAAAATAATAAATGGGTAAATGAGAGCAAAGTACACAATACAAATAAATAATTAAATTATTCGATGGCTAAATCAAAATAATACAAATTATGGGGTAAGTTAACAAAATTCCGATGGGCTGGTGGTGGCAACAAAGAAATCTTGGCCTATCATGCTCGGTTAGGGGAATTAAAAGTAGATTGGGCATTCCCATTTTATTCCATCTTAATACTTAGGCATGATAAACACTTTCGAGTCCTTTTGACAAAACAAAAATAAATTAAAACCTTAACAGTAAGTATGTTTAGCATTAGTTGGACATAAGCAAAATTCATGATTGGATGCAATTGGTAGCTACAAAACACAAGACATTTCATTCCGATTTTTCAGCTCGTCTTAGCCGCTTTGTTTTCTCTTTTTTGTTTATCAAAATAAAAAGTCCAAAACATTGAAAATGACTGTGGCAAAGTTGTTGTTGTTGTGGTGGTTATTGTTGCTATTGCTGTGGCCGCTCCCGTTGTCGTTGTCTTGGGGCAGATTGGTGGTGGAGGTCACCTCAAAGGATTGGTACAAGGACGGGGCGTTGCTGCTGCTGCGATGTTGCTGCCGTGGCGTTGAGTGGCGCAGCAGCAACATAGCCGCCTGCCTGGGCTCCACGTGGTGTTGCAGCTCGTGGGCCTGCAGAGTGTGCAGGCCACCGCCGTCCAGGGAATCGCCATCGCTGTCGGTGACCTCCACCAGCTGCTCCTCCCGCACAACGACAACCGGTTGCAGCCGGTTCAAGCATTGACTGGAGTAGTAGCATGAGTTGCCGAGCGGTTCGTGTAGATAGTTGGCCAGATCGTCGCCGAAATTAGTGTTGTTGGTGGTGAGCGTAGTAGTTAGTCCGGCATTATAACTACCCGAATTGACGTCCAGCAGCAGGCGACGTTGCTGCTGTTGCTGTTGGTGTTGCATGGGCGGTGGTCTCAAGAGACCCTTGGAATGTATCTGTTGCTGTTGCTGCTCCTGCTGCTGCTGCTGTTGCTCCTTCTGCTGTCCGTAGCTGTCCTCGGTGTCCATCATGTCGTCAAAGTGCTGCTCCTGCTGCTCCTGTTGCTGCTGCTGCTGTTGCCTGCGGTAAAAGTGATAGAGCAACGCCGCCTGACTCCGTTCGCCCTCCGTTTGCGCCTGCCGCATGTCCCTGGTGCTGCCGCCTCCCAAGTATCCAGCGGCAGCGGCCAAGCAGCAACTGCTGCACGTGTCCGCCGGCAGTTGCAACGTGACCACCGCATCCCGGGGACCCAGGAACCATTCGGAGCGAGTGCGCATGCGTGCGGTTTGGCGTTCATGGACCTAACACATTTTTCCATTTCGTACATGTTGTTTTCAGCATTGCAAATATTTATTTGTTGTTTGTTGGTTGGTTGTTATTGTTGTCGTGTAGTTGTTGTTGTTGGTGGTGGAAAGACGGGGGATTCAAAATTTTCGCATTAGAGTTTTTGGCAATTGAAATTTTCGATTTAGCTAGCTGTAATTTTTGCTTGATTCACTTAATTAAAAAATGTAAAAGGCAAAATCAAAATCTTGAAACAAACAAAAGTTCACAAAATAAGGTGGGTTAACAATTGAATGTTTTAGTGATTATAAAATGCAGCAAAATCAGCGCAGTGGAAAAAGTGCAAGATTATACAAAATGATGGAGAGAACATTATAGGGTATTCACCATAAAATTAGAGATAAAGAAAGAAGATCCTTAATCCAGCTTAATTTCACCATGAATACCCCTTGAATATTCGAAACAAGCACATTATAATTAGGTAGAAACATTCAGTGAAAAAACCGCCAACAAGCGCTTTGATTGCTTATCTCGAGGTGGAAACAACATTCAAAAGAATTAAATCCGCCAAAAATAAGATTAATTACAAATGCAATTTCGGGGTTTTCGGCTCGTGTTTTGTAGTATTTGCATGATTATGTTTTCGTATTTTTGTGTTTTCTCGTTTTGCTTATCGACTAAATGTTATTTGGTTAGCTACATACAATTATGAGGAGTGCAGCAAACAACTTAAAGACAAGACAGGCAAGACAAAGGCAGGCTTCTAATCTACATAGACAAGACACACAAGCGACAATAAATCAAAATGGTGCACATGGGTATCTTAAGTGTCTAATAATACTATATTTTACAAAGTAACGATTACAACAAAATCATAGGAAATCATATCATATCGGTGGCTTATCATACATAATGTTCTAGTTATTTCTGATATGCCACTTTTTACAGCAAATGATAAGACTGGGAACGATAAATAAATAATAACTAAGGTGTACATGGTGTTCTATTTCTAAAGATAACTACATTTATATACGGTGTCAAGAGTTTTGAAAAGGTTTGTATACTTCTGCGATACTTGATCCAAGTTTTTGTTGGTCCACAAAAGTTTGATAAGGAAGGGAATCCTCCGATCCGTAATTATTCTTATAAATTTTCCTAGCTGATGAAAATCTAAATATTTGAATTGCTTAACGAAATGTACGTTCTAAACTTTTAAGTGAATATTTAAAAAACTTTCAAATGTCTTCCATTTTTTCACACAAATTAACTAAACCAAAGATCAATATTTTCCCCCAATCTCGTAAAAACTTCCGTAATTCTAGTTATTATGTACAATTCCAATATTTTCTAATTCAAACTTATATCCAATTGATAAAAATTTCTCTTATTTGTCACAGATTTGTCACTCCCAATTTTTTAATTATTAAATACGCAATTTGGTGTTTAGTTTTAGCTTGTTGCAACATTATATAGCACTCGTTTTTTATTTAGTGAAAATAGGTCTTTGGGCATAGAAAATGTATTTATAAAAGGTTTTTATGTTTTTGTTGTTGGTTTAACATTTTGTTGTTCTCGTTTTAAATGTTTTTGTTTGGTTTTTTTTGTAAGTATGAAAAGTTTAAACAAAAATAAAGAAAATTTAATTAAATTATAAACATAAAATGTTAAATAAAAAATATGTATTAAATTTTTTCTCCGTTTTTAGTCCTTTTTGTACAGAGTTTTGGTGAAGTATGTTGATTTTGTTGTACTTTTTGTACAGTTTTTGGGGATGTAAAGGGTGTGAGGGCGTAGATTCTTCAATTTCTTTGTCTTACAATTATATAAAATGTGTTGTTGATTGTTGTTGTTGTTGTGTAAGTAGTAGTTGTTTGTTTTCGTTGGCAGGCGCAAATCGTTTTGTTAGATTATGAAAATATTAGAAAAAACTAGGCAAACATTTCCAAAAATGAAACAATTTTGAGCATTTTGCTAAGTGATTCGAGTTAGAAGAGAGTCAAAGTAGGAGTGAGTGATAGGGAGATTAGAGGGGTAACATTTCCAATTGACAAAACTCAAACACAAGAAACGAAAGAGATTAAATTAAGGTATTACATAAGGTTCAATTACAATAAATCAAAAATTCGCAACAGAAAATGGAAGAAATCAAAAGAGGTAACTTAAAAACTAATATATTCTTGGTTCTTGATTCTTTTTCATTTCCTGGAAAAAAGAAACCAGAACTTAAAATAAATTCGAGCATTTTTAAAGGGGGGTTAGGCCTAGGATCTATATAGATGGTACGTTCTACACAACGGTCGCAATATCTCAAACGGAAATGCGTGAGCCCAGCAAGAACTTGTCCCTCACCTGTGGCAGATACGAGAGGCTCTTGGTGCTCTCCGCATATCGGTTGACGGCCCTCAGCTCCTCCATGGTCATGCCGCCCTCGGCTCCTCCTCCGTTTCCGGTTCCCGTCCCTCCACTGCCTCCTCCTCCTTCGCAGTTCGAGCCAGCCGCTCCGGCAGAATTGGAGCTGCAGGAGCTGCTGTGTCGAATGCCCCGATTGCAGCGACTGCAGGTTCGCTGCTTGAGCTTCGGGGGCGTGGGATTGCCAGCTGCTGCTCCTGGAGCAGCTCCTCCTGCTGCTCCCGATCCCGATCCCGCACGCCTTTCTCCTCCGCCATCGAGGCTCTTGGTGCCCGTGCGCAATCGCCTCTGATGGTGACTGCTACTCGGCGCAGCGGGCTTCTTCTTGTTCTGGCGATAGCGTCGCTTCACAAAGGTCATCTCATCCTCATCCTCGTCGTCGTCATCGTCGTAGTCCCGCTGGTGCTGAGGCTGCACAAGCTGCGGCTGCTGCTGTTGGTAGTGAAGTGGCTGCTGGGCACGCTGCTTGTGGCGATAGATGCCGCGACTACCCTGCGGCGGCGCTATGCTGCTGATCTCCAGCTCGGCACCAAAGTCATGGACACCGTCCAGCTCATCGTTATCCTCGTCGTCGTCGGCATAGTCATCGTAGTCGTAGTCCGTGGCATTGCCGTTGCCGTTGCCATTCCCATTCCTCTTCGCCGGCAACGGGGACGAGGTCATGGCATAGATGCCGGGTCCCTCCAGTGAAACCGAGAGACGGGCGCAGCTTTCGATGAACGAGTGCTCCGGGGAGACGCCCAGCGACAGGACGCTGTTCTCCAACGCCGAACTGGAGCTGGTCAGCAGGGCGGGCGTCGAGCGGGACTCCTCCTGGGCCACTAAATCAGGTCGGCAGTGGGTTATAACAAATGCATTGGATGACTCGTCAAAATGAGGGGGTACAAACAACTACGGGGCATGCAGCGAAAAGCTAGAGAATGGGGTGGTGCAGTGCGGGTGTGGGTGGGGCTAAGAGCTTATCTTTTCGGGACACCAGATGACCACAGATGAGCTTATCAGATATCGGATACATGTTTATTGATCGCATTCCCCCACACACACACAGAGAGAAGTTAGATCGGACAGTGTGGAGTAAATAGAGGTGGAGATCTCCAGAAGCAAAGCACAATAGAGTATGATTCTAGCTATATCTACGGATAGGTAAACACTTCTCAGGTACTCACGTAAGCCCCAACGCTCGCATTGGCACTGCAGCCAGGTCTTCTCCGCCTCCAAAGAATGTTGCACTGCGGGGAAAGCGATAAAAAGTTATTAGCCAGAGGAATTTCGATTGCTTTAAATTCTATACCGAAGACGGGGTTTGGACAATTATTTAAACAATCAATATATCGATTAAGAACAAGCTGGGCAGAATGAGTAAACTTCTTAATGATTCATGAACAAGTCAGTTCGTTAAGTACAGTATAATTAAGTGCGACCTCTATTTTTCCAGCACTTATTTTGTTTAATGTCTTTTGACTGCTTTGCCTATACTGTAATTAAACCAAAAGATTTTTTTCTTTCTCAACCTAACAAGTTCTAGAAGTACTTTTTTAAATATAGGTTTACAACTACTGTCACAATTTATGTATTCCCAAATCGATTCGAATTGTTAAGTTTCCAAACTGATCCTTCAATGTAACGTTGAAGACTTTAACCATCCTGCACCACTCACATGCGTATTTCTGTTGAGCCAACTTGCCACGTGGCGGTGGTGGATACTGGAAGCTGCATATCCACTCGTCCTGCACCTTGAGAATGCGTCCTGTGACGCGGGCGTAGTACTCGTAATTGTCGCGCCCAAAGATGTCATGTGTGGCAAACTTATCGATTATATTCTGCATGATCTTCGTAGAGACCTGAAAACCAAATACATTTAAAAATCCATTCTTTAATACAAAAGTGACATGCGAACTCACCTTGAACTTGAGCACATCCTCCATGCGAGCGGTTTTGCCATCGCTCACGCAGGACTGAAAGAAACTGGGGGCCACGGACACGCCCAGCGCCTCGCTGGTCATTCCGGTGGAGGCGTGGGCCGCATTGCTCGCGATGACCCGGAATGTGCCGAACAGTAAAACTAATAGATGCTGTGTGTATTTCGGCAGCGAACCGAAGAGTCTGCAAGGGGAAAAGAGAAAGGTTCTTTAAAAGAATGTCGGTACATAAAGTTTAGAGATACAAAGTGAACACTCTAAAAAAAAGTTGGCTACATGTCTGGATTTACTTTAAACATCCCATAAATTATTATCTGAATATTAACATTTCTTTTAGAAAGGTTCTTTAAAAGAATGTCGGTACATAAAGTTTAGAGATACAAAATGAACACTCTAAAAAAAGTTGACTACATGTGTGTATTTACTTTAAAGGTCCCATAAATTATTTTCTTAGAATTAACATTTATTTTAGAAATATAAAGTAAAGTTCTGTCTAGATCTCTTATTTTAATGGATAAAAAAAAACCATATCACTAAAATTTGAATGATGTATGATCATAAAATGTGGCAAGCCTAAGATATTATATAAACCTCTTCAAGAAATTTTATTTTTTTTTTTAGAAATTTCTTTTATATATCTAGAACAAACATTTTATAATGTCTCTGAAGTTTCTTTCCCAGGTTTAGAACATATTAACATTTTTTAAAGTGCATGTGATGGCCCATGGTGATTGTAGATTTGATAAATATTTGCTAAGATCTGTTATCACAGCGAGTGAATGGCTTGTGCTAGTTGAGCTGGCGGGGCAATTGTTAGTCATGCGTTTTGTTTTTATTACCATTACAGAAGTGCACTGACTCATTCTCGGGTGAACTACTGCTGGCCGCTCGTTACCCATCAAAATCCAAACTCATCGCCTGGCCGGGCCGGCAAAGAAAGTCAGAGCAGCTCCTCTGTTCACACTTTCATTTTGGCGTGCCTAATGATTTTTCGAAACAAATGGTTGAGCCAAGTCGGCGGGGCCCCAGCTGCAGCCGGGTGACTTTGGCCGGGGAAGAGGAAAAACTGGTTGGCAACCTCCTAAGCGTCCACATTACACAACTTGATAGAGGTAGCAAACCAAAACCGAAAAAAAAGAGCCAGCACCAAAAGCCAACACAAGACAAGCCAAGCAAGGCAGGCTATACGAAAAACAGAAAAACAAAACCCAACTCAATCAATTAATGCTTTTAAAGCAACACTCTCCTCGCAACATCTCTCCGAGGCTGGCGCTTAAAAAGTGAAAACTTCAAGATCCAACAATAAATGCAGGAGGAGATGGCGGGGTGGGGGCCAAATCGCTTGACAATGAACTATACTATAATGCGATGGCTGTCTGGCTCTATTTTCATTTTCAGATGTGGTGTGAATTGCCCGCGAAGCAAGAAAAACAGACTAACGAGAGAAACGACAGCTTAGCCCGATAAGTGTTGCATTTAGAATGAATATCTCTGTTCGAAAAGGGAGTGCAGCGATAGGGTTTTAAAAAAGAAATGGAAAAAATCGGGAACTCTCGGGCCTCGGTTAATTGAAATCAAGAAATAAGCCAACGCAATTTATACGATGATGGAACCCGCATGAAATGTCACAAACGGAGAAATTCAGTGTGGTAAAGTGAGAGGTGGGAACCTTAAATGCCGTAAATTACCCACACAAGACATTAATCTATAACATGTTGGAGAAAACTGAGGCCCACATGAGCAGATCTTTCGTGGAATACCTAATAGTGCCTTAGGCATAAAAATAGATTTAAGTTCTGGGGAAATAGAAAAGACATAAAATATTGGCTATAAAGTATTCACCTTACACCAGGTCCAAAATGCATTCACTTAAGTGTTTTCTGTGTTTTTTATAATATATCTTATAGTTCCTGAGTTACATTTCATATCTTAATCATTTCAAATCGATTTAAATGACCTTGTTCTGGCAACATTCTTAATTTTCGTCTAATTTTTAAGTATTAGGGTCTAGTACACACCATTTGTAAAGTTTTTTAATCCTTACCATCTCCCATTAAATTTTCTTATCGAGTACACTCCCATTTGCATTCACATCTGAACCCTAGAAAGGTCATCGTTGGTCAAGGTTTTGCCATGTTCCCAGGTTCATTAGTCCATTGATATCTCCCAATTTGTTTGCTCGAAACTACAAGCGAGTCAATAAGGCGATGTGAACAACCGAAGCAATGCCACTAGACCCAACCCAAGCCAAACAAACTCTATAGTAAACCCCTTGCGAACGACCCCTAATCAAACAACCATTGCATTGCAAATAGAAACTGGGAAAACGTGCCGCTAAAAGTTATCCCGAAATAAAAAAGCAGGAGTTCCTATCTTATCTATACGAGTTTGAACTACACATGTTGCGGCTTCTTCATTGGCAACATTTGAACTCCCCGGAGGCCAAATTGATAGTGGGGCCAAAGCTAATGATCACCTCGAACTCTGGGCTAAAAGTCGCCTGATAACGACGATTATCAATTAGTAGTCATTTAGATTTTGCTTGTTTTGGCGTCGGGTAACGCCCATAAAGCGGAATGCGTACAAATCGTTTATTAATTACAAGCATTACGTGGAATGCTGTTAAAAAAATATAAACAAAAGCCACAGAAACCGCAGCGACTGAAAGCGGAACAAGTGTTTACGTCTGTTGATATTGTGGAGATAAGCAATATCATTGAGCCAAACTTTATTTCCGAACCCTACAATCCAACAAAAAAAGTACCTTAATGGCATGAGTAATTGTGGTGTATTGTTTACTTTATCATTTGATGATTTCTACGTATTTTACCTTTTCTTCGTGATTGATGGACGCGTTTGGAATCGACGCTCCATTAGGGTCTGTGGACTACCTTATATAATCGCGTTGCGCATGCGCCGTATCAGTCTGTTTATATTCCATTCATTTGCATAATCAATAGGCCAAACAAAAACAGGCTCAAATAAAGACAATAAAAAACCGGCAGAAGCATTTGCATACATTCAATTCCCCGAATCGGTGCTAAATAGTTTCCGATTTTTCCTAAATTTAGTATTTGCCAAGCGTAGCTTCTGCGTATTGTTCATTGACAGTCAGGCAAACCCGTCATATTATTTAGATGAATCATATTCGTTTTTTGTTAACGCTGTTTATTTGCCCTGCCGTTGACTGACTTCTTTTTTCATTCATAAAACTGAAATATGTCGGACAATTTTTTATTCGCCTCTTTTTTGCCCGTTTTGTTTGTATTTTGCCGCATTTGATTTGCTTTTGTAACAGTATTTTATCACAATATTATATGTGCCTGCAGATATGTGCGATTTGTTTTCAGTTCGTTACGTATGAGAAGTCTCGGAAGACGCGATGCTGTGCCCTACAGAGAAACCAGTTCCCCGAAGTTCCCACAAACTCAACTCTTTTGTGACACTTTCGAGAGGAGATCTCCATCTCCGGCGAGGTTTCAGTTCGGATTCGTACTCGGATTTGGACTCGGATTCGTTTGGAGTGAGTGAGTCAAGTGAGTGAATTATGCCGACTGTCGAGGTCTGTGTAAGTGATAAGTGAAATATCATACACAAGATAATTGAGTTTCCTTGCGGCGCATATATGTGCCCACTTCAATGGTTTACATTAATAAAGAAATGCACACATAATACACTTTATGGAATTCAGCTGACTGATAGCTTATAAATACCGCATTATTCAAAGCCTTTTCAGGAAAATAAACAGGGAAGCAGGGAATTCGGATCTCATAAAATATGTTTACATTTTATTTAGGTCCTTATTATAAGATAAAACTGAGAATAATGTAGTTCCATTATTCCAACAATAAAATAAGTACGGGGTATCCCATATATCGCATAAGAAAAGTGATATATGAATATGTATTTTTATAAGCGGGAAGCAACTGTTACCAAGTAAATATATCTGCCTTATTAATACAACAAAATGTTTTTAATTTATTTATAAAACTGTTATCACATAAGAAATTGAGGATTAAAGTTATATGTTTTACAAACAGAAAGTCATTATTTAATACCTGCTAAATTGGGGTGCCAATAAGCTTTCACTTACAAATTGGGGCGAATAAACCCAGTTAAACTAGGTTTCTCTTAAACCATTTTAAAAATCCTTGTTCAAAAATCGCATCCATTAAAAAACCCTGAACTAAAGAATACTCCTATCCACTATCAACAAACGGATGTCTCATGTGAAACCAATTTCCCAAGCCTTCTTACAACCGACAGATAAATATTGGTCATTTTTACATGCAATGCTATCGGATGAATGGGCCTATAAAAATAACAATATGTGGATCAATTGATGTGGTCGCCGTTGTTAATGAATCATTTACATTAGGTCATAAACAAATGAGTTTATGTTAGTCTGTTGAGAGAATTACGCATCACTTGAGGAAACAAAGGGCATTAAGTGTCTAGGAGTATTAAATGAAAAGTGTGTGTGTATCTCGGGATCGCTTATCGGATCGGCAACATTTTTTGCCTACTAAGCAGGCCGGATCGGTCAGCATTATAATTATGCTGCCCATATCGCTTATATCTTTAGGCTCCCCTCTGTTTTTTCTGTCTTTCTGCATCAGCATCAATATTCATTGCGGCAAGCTCAATCTGCATCTTGTGCTCACTTCCACGCCCAAGTTCCGAGACTTGAGAGTCAAGTACACAGAAAGAATAAGTTTATTCTGATAATATCCGATATGAAATTACATAATCAAGTTTAGTCATATCTGTTTAAACATTTCCGACAAGAAATAGGCATTATTATTGACCTGTTTTATTATAATTCATTCTTAAGTGAAGACATCGCCTTTAGATCTTTCTGTATAAATGTTCTCTGTACAAGTTGCAGATTCAGATGGATAAAGTGGCAGCCAGAGCCTTTGTGTTCGCTTAACAGATGCGAAAACATAACCGCAGCGGCAGCAAGTTTTTATGTCGGTTTTTGTAGTTGGGCTGTCGGCACAATACAAAAGACAATACGTCATAATAATGAACCAAGCAAAAGCAATACTCGCACCAACAGCACCGAATGCACGATAATAAAAAGCAGTTTTCAACATACATATACTAAGTGCAAACATCACGATATGCGATGGATGACGACTATGACCCACCGACCAAGCTAACGACAATGCCCTGATTACA